TCTTGTATTTATTTGAATAGTTTAGGGCTTGACCCTATTTTGTACTTGAATGCCATTAAGCCTAGTGAACGGTTTTTGGGGAATGAGATTATTTTTGTACGAGATGTTGGGACTGATTTGAGGACATAATGAAGCCATGATGGCTGGAAAATAGGTAAAAAACAAGGGATATGCTGCCGAAATTTTCTTGAAGGCTAGTTGGATTTACTTGTGATTTGAACGAAGGGCTTTTGGGTTGTTTGAGCCTAGGTCTTCATGTTACCTTTTCGTTACCAAAAATCATGTTTTGCACCCTTGCTTTAGTAATTATTTAGCGAGGCATACGACTGGTAGTCGAGCCTCACATGTGCATTCTGTATACTCGTTTTTGAAAGTGGAACCTTCAATTGTTTTCCTTGGATTATTTTAGGATTTCTTGGTGATTAAAGCTCTGTTTTGGGAGGTATCTGCACTGACCCTGGTGAGTGTACTACTCACTTGTGTGTTACTATATGGCTTTGAATGTAAATTGCTTGAAGTGAATTGAATGTGACTTGATTGAAGTGAAAGTGTACTTTATCACTCTCACTTATATGCCTTATATCATTGTTGTCATGTTATTGGAATGTTACATGAAATGTTACATGAAATGAAAGTACGTGACTTGGTGTCGATTGGACGAGTATCCAACGACTACAAATGTTATCATTGAGCTCAACCCCATTGGTAGTTGATTGAATCGAGCCGGCGAGGGCTTGGTCGTGCCAATTAATGAACCTTGGGTAAAGTTATATGGAATCTTGTAGTATGTGAGACTCTCGATTCCGGTATACTCGAGTAATACCAAAGTGCAAGTGTTTGGAGTTCGGGCCCGGTAGGGTGATGTTAGGTGGAAGGAGTGGAAGTAAAGTAAAGTCTACGGTTGGTTACTTTTGAACATTGACGGAGAGTCAATGACGTTCGATCAAGAAATGCAAACGAGGAAAGGGCTCTTGAGAGCCATCTGTATCCTTTTATTACCATATTTGACGTGTGCCTTTTCTTATTTTTACTATATTGAATGAAAGCTTGATGCTTATATGCACTTGGTTGCGTAAGTGATAGTATCTCACTGGGCAATTAGCTCACACAGTTCCTTTTGTTTTCCTTACAGGAATATGACTCTTTTTGGAATGAATCTTGATAGATGGTTGCCGAATGAACTAGATGTATCTCTCTTTTGTATTGTATATGAAGTGAAACCCTAAATGTATCTTTAGGGCCGTTTTCACTTTCAATTTGGCAAACCGTGTATATATTAACTTTTGAAAACTTTTGTATGTCACTTTGGATTGTAATTGTTAAAGTTCAAGATGTGAATGTTTGTTTGATATTTGGTTGCGTTCTGACGGGTCGGTTACTATTCATGGCCGACTCCGAATTTTATTTTTTTTTATTTTGGGTTATTTTGCCCTTTTGCCTTGTTTACGCGCGTTTGTAAGTTCCGGAACGTATTAGATCGCTCTAACTGCACTGTTAGTCCTGGCGAGAGTTGGCAGGCAGTCCGCTAACCCCTCTGGTTCGCCTTAGGGGAAGGTGGGGCTGTCACAAACCACAATTTCCAAATGTTGACACTTTGTCAACCAAACAAGTAACAAGTCCGTAGAACCCCACTTTTCACCAATTTTCGTCTACCGTTACACCTCCTGTCGGGCCTACACGTCAAACAAGATGTGATATTACTCGACTATATCCAAACAAGTCAAGTACAAGAGACCAAAGTTCACCAAACTCTTCAACCAATCCCTTGCTGGCTTGAGTTGAATGGCTAGCCATTGGATTTTGGGCGTCCCCACAAGTACAATTGATCGATGAGACAACACTCCAATCGGTTTAAAATAGATCATAGCACTGAGTCGGGATGAGAGGCACCTCCCACCCGAATAGAGTGTGGTACATGCTATCGTTCAATGTTCACGAGTCAAAACATGTTTGATTACAAGTGCAAGTCAGACAAATTCATATTTCAAGTAGCAAGCATTCAAGAGGGAGAGGACGAGGGCAATAAAGTATACCCTCGCCTCGGCAAGTTCACAAGTCACATAGCACTTGTACAAATATCATTTCAATCATAGCAACATGAAGCATGAACTGGACACTCATCAAAAGTCAAGAGCAAAACAAAAGTAAAAGCAAGAGGTCAAATGAGCTCTTCGGTGTACACGTGATCACCTGAGACATGCACAATCACGGTTACCTAGGTATTCGACCAAGGTTAATAAGAAAATTTCCTCATGCTACCCACACTCAAAAGTTACAAGTCCAAGTCAAATTAAAAGGGACTTTCTCGCTTAATCACTAAAACAATACTCAAGGGGGACTCAAAAGTTGTTTTTGAGTCAAGTCGTGCCAAGAAATTTCTATTTTAAAAGAAGAGTATCATATTTAATTTTTGGCACGAAAATCGTGGAAAGGAAAAATGATTTTCATATCTTAAAACTTTTAATCCTATGCCCAAATTTTAGAATATAAAGGAGTGTTCACGTTTTTTAAACTTATGGAATCAGAATTCATCAAAACGCTACTTATTTTCATAGTAATTATTGAAGTTAAAAGTTTCAAGTTTCAAATATAAAGTTAGGGAAATTCCTGAAGAATTATTCTAGCTAAACGTTCCAATTGATGGTTTATTTTCATGGAAACCAAGGGCATAAGAGTAAGAGGTGAAATCCATTTCTCAAGTATGAAATGAGATGCAAATAATCAAGAAAGTTAGGATTGAAACCTAGAAAATGTTCCCAATCCACTTTTTAAGCTTTTGCCTCTTTATAAGGAAAATTCAGTTTTGGCAACATTATTTGAAAAATCATAACTTGAGTTTCATAAATCCAAAATTTGTAATCTTATACCGTTAAAAAATAGACTCAATGAAATAAAACTCTCAAGAAGACATTTTTTCCAGATTCAAATCAGAATTTAGTCATATTTTAGTTCCAAATCACTGCTTCAGCAAGAACAGGGCAAAACAGTCTAGAATTTTAGTAAAATTTGAAAATTTGGCAAAATTCATAGGAATCGAACTAGTCCTTGAAATTTATACCACTGAAAGAACTCCAAGTCCGGTTTCAAACGCAATAAACAGAACTCAATTTGAATTTTTCTACAGTAAGATACAACAGTTTTCCTAAAGCTGAATTTTGAAACTTAATACACGAAATTTCAGCTTTGAAACACCCGACACTATTTGTAAATTAGGTCATAGCTAAGGCTACACAAATCCAAAATTAGCGTAGTTAACAGCGTTGAAAACTAGATTCAAAATTCTAAAAATCACTAGAAGAAACTGTCTTCAAATTCATTTCGTAAGGGGAGTGAAAATGAGTTACAAACTGCAGCTGTGCTTGACTCTCTTTTAGAATAGTGAGTGAAAATAGCCAACTTTGCCGGTTCACTGCGACTCATAGAAAACGAACTAGCAAGTGCATTATATACCGTTAGAAAGCCCTCGGAGTCTAGTTTCACCTGCCTCAAACGACACTTGATTTCGACTCCTGTACGAAAAATTATGTGCTATTTAGTACACACTAGTCGGCTGCACTGATCAGAAATTTTCAGATTTGCTTTTCTCCCTTTAACCTAACTTTAACTCATTCAAATGAATTGCTTTTTGGAAGATAATTTACACACACATAACCCAACATGTAGTAAGTATTTTTACATCAATATAACCACAAATTTTGAAATTAAAACAAGAGAAAAAAACCAGCAAAAATTGGACAGCCTTGCTTCTTCTTTCTCTTCAAAATTTTCTCTCCAACTCTCACACCAAAACCAAGCTAGAAATCACTAAAACAACAACCAAACAAACAAGAAATCCTCAATGCCACTACCTAACAATCTTTCTCAAGGTATCTACCTAATGTCAAGGTTCATGGAACCCATCAACAAAGCCAAGCTCATTTAGCTAAAAACTAACGAAAAACTAACTAAAAGATGAAAGAAAAATGGGAGCTTTGAGGGTTACCTTTCCTCCAAGAGTAGTAAGCAAAACCACAAGAAATCAAGCTCTAAACCACCAAGAGTCTCTCCTCCTCCAAGTCTCCTACTAAGCTTGAGGATGATCCAAGAGAGTGAGCAAAGTTGGAGCAAGTTTTAGTGAGCAAAATGAAGAAGAAATGTTGAAACTTTCTTGGCTAAATGGAGGATGCAGTGCTCGGCCAAGAGAGGGAGAAGAGAGAGGGTTTGTGTGTGATTTTGGTAAAGTGATTTGGATGAAAGAAAGATGGGACATAAAGCTACTTTTGGTTCAAAAGTCAACAATTGAATAGTGACCCATTAGTGCTCCTAATTGAGCTTAATTCGACTCACCCACTCATCTCTAATTTCTCAATTAATTTTTCTTAGACTATAATTGATCATTCTTAACTCTCGAAGACCACTGCACTCTTAGACCAAATATCGTTTCGAAAAATGTGTATTCACTAATTTTCACTAATCATGCGACAGAAAAATTAACTTTACAAGCAAATGTTTTAAAATTATAAGTATGAGCCAATGTACCATGCAAATGCAATTAAAATGAATGTAATAAATTAATTGAAGTAAATGAATAAATAATTAAATAAATAAATAAACCATGTAAAGAAAATTTCGGTCCTCACATTTTTAGTATAATTTATGAATAGTAACTCAATACCCCACTTATAAATATTCTAAAACTGACACCTTACTTGTGAATTTCCACTTTTTCTATTCCCTTTAGCGAAACCCTTCTTGTGAGTTTCCGCTGTTTGTATCTTCTCCCTTGTCCAAAATTTCCCAAAACTATGAAATGGTCACTAATATTTTACCGCTATTGTTAATTGCAAAAAAAAGAGTTAAAAAGAAAAGCAGGACGAAGTTGGCGTTTGCCGTCGGGCGGACCCGTGTGTTCTTCTGACGTAAGCCATAAAAGATTGAAATTTGATAGTCAAAGGCCTGCCCCCCAGGCCCCAGCCCACGTCCTCAGCCACCAATCCCCCCCCCCCCCCCCCAAATCTCCCAGCTCTCTTCCCCTGGGGCCCCGCTCCCCGGGGGCGCGAATTTCCCTTACGATCCTCCGTCTGCTTTTACCATTGACATGGCCCCAAAACCCCGTCGTTTAACTGTAACCTCTTATTCCATTTCCACTTCCTTTTCATCCTCCTGAGAATCCTGCCTCCGTCAGTGAATTGTACCTGCCATCTCCCTGCCTACCTCGGCATTTGGGATTCCATCTCAGGTAGAATTAATTCCCGTGTTATATGTGTGTGTGTGTGTGTATTTATATGTTTGTTTTACTGACGGATATTCCAGTTAATATAAACATGTTTCTTCGTCTGACTTTAATTTTTTTAGTAATTTTTGTTCCATTTCGAAATTTTGTTATGCAATTATTAATCGAAAAGGTTGCAACTAAACATTGCGCAATTTATTTCTTGTTCAATTCAATTTTTTTTATTGGGTGATAAATTGGTTATTTGCTTTTTCCTTTTTATGATTGCTTATAAGCAAATAATAGTAAAGGACTTGCCAATCGGATTGGCTCAGCTTAGAATCGAATTTTGTGTCGTTGGTAGGCAATCTTTAAGCACAGTTCTGAGCTTACGTTTGTTGGCTTTCTGCCTTGGAGTGGCTAACCTCCGCTGTCTACTGAAATCCGAAAATTTGATTAACCAAAGAATAAGAAAGAAGAAAAAGAAGAAGAAGAACATGATGCTTTGTTTGTATGGGGCGATGTGTTTTGAATATTTGGATATGCATGTATGACTAAAGACTATGACCAGTGCTTTGTGCTTTCAGAAACTTGATTTGGGCATCTTCTGTTTATGCCCTTAAGCAATCCTCTATAGAGTGTTCGAGCCAAATGGAGGAGTTCCTACTGTACGCTAAATTGGAAGATGTAACTTGTCCAATATGTTTGGATTTCCCCCACAATGGAGTTCTCCTCCAATGCTCATCGTATGATAAAGGATGCAGGCCTTTTGTTTGTGACACAGACCATCTACACTCAAATTGTTTGGACAGATATAAACAAGCATATGGAACTTTATCTGGATCACAATCACCTTTGATATCTGATGCAACACCTAGTGAGAGCATGAATTTGGCAAATCTAGATGCAAGTGGCAGGCCAACGTGTCCGTTATGTAGAGGAGAAGTGACTGGTTGGGTAGTTATTGATGAAGTTCGCAAGAGTTTAGATGAAAAGAAACGTTCCTGTGAAGAGGAAAAATGTAGATATAAAGGGACCTACATGGAACTTCAGAAACATGCTCAACTCGAGCATCCTCATTCCCGTCCTTCGAAAATTGATCCCGCACGGCAACTTGATTGGGAAAATTTCCAGCAATCCTCTGAAATTATAGATGTTTTGAGCACCATTCATTCAGAAGTACCCCGGGGGGTGATTTTGGGCGACTATGTGATCGAATATGGGGATTATCACTCCGAAGATGAATTGGAGGAATTCCGTAGAGATGAAGGAAACTGGTGGACATCGTGTATTCTTTATCACGTATTTGACAATCTTAGGGCATCTAGAAACAGAAGAAGGTCCAGAGTCAGTATTCCAAGGAGAGCAAACCACCATTCAAGTTATACTTCCAACTCAGATGATGGTTCAGTGGCATCTGTAGAGTTTCCTGATTATAGGACTGAGGAGACTGATGATGATTTAGTGAGTTCAAGAGGCCCATCAAGGGTTGGAGCTGATGATCGCAGGTCAGTGGGTGCTTTTGTAGCCCTAATTGTGTATATATGAACTTTCTAATTCTAAATGCTTGTCTAGTGTGTATTTGTATATATTTAGTGTTGCAAACTATGGTACTCTCAAGGGCTTTCATGAGCATCCTTCTGTGTAGAATTTTATGCCTTTTGCATGTTGGAGAAAAGTATCTCAGTGTGTCTTTGAGTGGATTATGTGCATACGCATGCAAGAATGTGTTTCAGGATAGCTTCATCTTGACATGGAAAAAAATTTCCGAGTCTTGGGGTCACTTGCCAAAATTAGTAATACACCAATTTATTATTTTATGGTGCAGCGTTTTGACCGTATTTCATGCCCAGAACATACTATTTATTTGAGTTCTCCAATACAGTAGCTTTGATACTCAACTACAGGAATCTTCATTTCATAAGATACTGATTGTCATGAATCTTGGAAGACATGTTTCAGTGCATCCTGTGATTTTTTCTTGATAATTCTTAGATTTAAAGAATGAGAAGGTGTAACATAGTGGGGATATTCCATTGAACTTTAAACATCAGGATGTTGATTTGCCTTTTTGACTGGAGCATGACATTCTTTTTCATGAAAAGAAATGATTGTTCATGATGCTTCCGTGAAGTTTTCTTACTAGAAGTCAAATAACCAACCTGATGCCAATTATCATTTTATCAAGAGTGTGAATGAGGATAATTGAAAGCATTCATAGTAATTGGACTTTGACCTCTGATTCTAGGACCTCTGATTCTTCCTAGCTGCACTGAGGAGAAGTGCTTTACATTTTCCTTCCCACTGCTTTATGGTGGCCAGCTTTCAGACAATTCCTAGTTGTAGCATTTAAAATCAACTGACCCTCTTCGATTAAATGACCTAAACACACCTCCTTTCCAACCCATCACCTTTCCCACCCTGTTCCCTCCCTTACATAGTGTGTGTGTGTGTGTGTGTGTGTAGAGAGGGAGAGTCATTGGTGGGCTGCTGTTCCTGCATACAATATATCCCTTAACACTGACTAGAAGAAACTACAGTGGCCGACCTCCCATTATTGGAGAGGTGATCTACCGGCCCTGTAGAAAATGCTGCCAGTCTCAGAGATGTAACAAAATCTTTTGCAAGGGTGTTCTGTGGATGTGATGATGGACACCTGGAAATACTTATGTATGTCTTTGGATTTTGTGTCTTTGTAATCCGCTGTATGCAAAAGTTGGGCTGAAGACATAGACTAAGGTTCTCACTGGTGCAATGCAAGACTGGACATCGTTTCCTAAACCTTCCTCACCCTGCCAAGCGTAGCACTCTGCAAGTTTACTGCTACCAAAAGAAACTGTCAGTTTAGTGGACTAGCACCCAATAGACCACTTTACATGACCTCATCAGAGGATGAGGGTTGGATGCTGACCTAGAGTTGAAGGGGGTTAAGCTGCATTCTTTGCTGTTACCTTATGGCCTCTTGTGGTTTTAGAGATTTAATCATTGCGGGTTCCCTGTAATCTGTTACCACAGCCTGATAAAATTTATTAGACCTCATGATGGAAAAAATGGTTTGGTTGCACTAGTTTGGTAGAAATTGTCCGGTTGCATTTACCTGATTCTGAACATAATCAGTTTCTGTAGTATCACTATGTATCAATGTTTTTAGCTTGTTTTATTAGTATAGAACCTCAGTGGAATGGAATGGTGGGTTTTCTTCATTCTTTTTTAACCAAAGTGTTTTGGGGAGAGAAGTTGGTTCTCAGGCTTCTTCAGGGTTGCTGGTAAGTATTGCTGGAGTTGAGTGGGGATGTAGCAAGTAGAAGTATGAGAGATGTTTTGGTGGGTTGCAAGCCCGGAAATTCAACAGATAGAGAGACTGTTGCTGGATGTGTTAGTTTACTGTATATTGGTTTTCTGTGGAACTCATCTATCTGAACTAATAGTTTCCAATTTTATCTGGTTGCTTTGCTTTTAATCATTTCTTAAACATTTATATATAAACTGGGACTGCTGTTCCATACTTGGATTATCTCAATCTTTTGTAAAAACCATTCTGGTGGGACAGTTCAAGAGGTGATACTTAAGTCATACTTAAGTAATATTTGCAGGTGTCATAATATTTGTGTTTTGTCTTAAGTGATACTTAAGACAGATTGTGTTTTGTAAACGCATTATTTGCAGGATCATACTTAAGTCATACATTGTACCTGAGTAACAAAGGAAATACAATGAGAGCTGCCATGATTATTATTGTGAATACCGGGAGGTCTAGCACTACATTCTACACCATATTTCCAATTTATTTTTTTATACTCACTGTTTTGAGATATCAAAAATTTAATATCACCTTTCAGAAAGATCGGTTGATGTATCACACACCTTTTAATTCTACCCTTACTGAGTGCTACTTACCTAACTAGTTGTTGTCTTCCTTTATCTTAATTTTGGTGGGTGTCTTAGGCATGACAAACAAAAAAATTGAAATTCATAAAACATGGTGCCTAGAATGTGAGTGACAAAAGAAATGGGAAAAAGAGAGTACATATAAAAAGGCTGCCCTCAGGGGCTTGGTCTGGTGGTTGAGGTTGCTGAAGATGGAGCTTCAGGTCCCTGGTTCGAACCTTACTGCCAGCAAGTTGCTGAGGGTGGTGAATAGTCTGCGGGGTCCACTCCTTGCGGGACACACCTAAAAAAAAAAAAAAAAAAAAAAAATGAGTACATATAAAAAGGCTGGCATTAATTTCCTTTTCCCTTTTCCATCTTTTTTGCTTTATTTTCGTCAGGAGAGAGAGATTTAGATATATTCTCTGCACTGCCCTGAAACCTCCTGTGGCTTGCCGTTTGAATTATAAGTCCATTAAATTGGGGTGTATGTTATTAGCTTTCATTGTTTACAATTAAAAATAATATTGATCTATTTAGACCGCTAAAATTTGAAGTGTTTGCTAATGGTCTCTTCAAATTCTGCTATGATGTCTGCTTATTCACAGATGCCTTCCCCCCCCGGACAACAAACCAAAAAAAAAAAAACCCAAAAACAAAAACAAAATTAAACTTTTCTAATATTTTTGTACTTATTCTTGTTCGCAGCTCACGTAGACGACGTTCACGCTTCTATGACAGTTAGGTATGTCTTTTGTGGAAAACCCTGCAAATTCAATTTTTTCGTTATTCTTTTTACTTTGTCATGGGATCTTCATTATGTCTTAATTCAGTGTAATATCTGATAACATCTGAAGCTACTGAACTTGATGCACATGATATGGTCGAGGTAATTGTACTGTTTGGTCCTTTGAGTTTTTTTGTCTTAATATTAGTATATCTCTTACACTCTGTACTCTTTGTAAAAGGTCAAAGCTAGTTGCAGTTATGATACAGAGCTTCATATGTTTTGGTTTTCCTGGAGAAAACTTTGGTCTGAGTTCTACATATGGAGCTGCTACTGAAATATGTATCAAATGTTGCTAAACTAGCATAATGATTTACTTCCAACAAAAATTTTCCTTCGAATAACGAGAAGAAAATTCTTCGATATTTTCAGGTGAAGTTTACTTGATAAAAAATGCACAAGCTGTGAAATTAAGACAATCAATCACTAACAATATCCCAACCAAAACCACAGAAAGAATGGAAACATTCATGGCCAAAATATATAAAGATTGGTGTAGTGTCCAAGGATTGTTTATTCCGCATGTAGTTAAATGGCCAAACAGAGGTTCCAGTCCTCATTCCAGTGAGGAATGACTGATTGGAGATCTTCTAAGGCAGGTCAGGGACATCCCATTGGCCTGGGCGGTCAAAAGCACCTTCAGACCTGTCCTGCTTTCTTTCCTTCTTCAGCCAGCACCTTACTATGTCAGAGTGCAACCGGCAGAAATTCCTTTTCACTGACTGAAATATGCACCCAGAAAAGGACTCAACAAGGTAAAAAACCTGTGACATACTGTTCAAAAGGGCACCCAGGCCTCATTGAACCCTGAAACTGGTGAACTACTTTTTATTCAATTTATGACCTTTGGTTACCCAGTTCCCTCCTCTGCCAAGTTTTAATCATTTCAGTCCATTCAACATGTGGTCCAGAATATGAAATACCAATACCAGGAGTGATCAAAGAATCCCAGAAGCCATGACATCTTTGAACTGTGGGCACATAATATTGAAAGAAGATAATTAACAGTACCTTCAGTTCTTGTCTCTTAAGCAGATAGGTTACCACATATATCGGTCTCCCTCTATAGTGCACCTCTGGAGTGTTCCTTTTTCCAGTTCGTTCATTAAGTATTTCCCTCTTAACGTGATGCAGCTGCTCATCTTGAGTTTAGTATGGGAAATCTGGCTTCAATACTGCAGGAAAGGGATTTATGAGAGATTAAAAAGAAAGAAATGCTATAGTAGTAGATGGGGAAAAGAAAAAACAAAGAGAGGCCACATCTAGGTTTACTAGGAAAAAAGTAAAGACACCTAGTAAAATAAGGAACACTGGGGAATCACTGCTTGGGATGGTTTGCACCAGACATAAAACTAACCACCCATTTGGTTGGAGGGTTTAGGGGGTAGGCAATGGGTGTGACCATCAGTGATTGTCATTGATAATGTTTGGAACACTGCAATGGTAATGAATCTATGATAATGGAAGACCAAAAACTCTTCAATGGCCATTCCAGAGTAAATTGGGCACTTTTGCCTTGATTACCAGCCAAATCACCAAAATAAAAGAAAAAAACCTTCATTGCACAAAACTCTCTCTCTCTCTCTCTCGACACTTCTCTCACTCACATCCTCACCACCCAACATTTCTACCTCCTTACCTAAGCTTTCCCTTAACCCATTGGCTCTAGATTCCTCCTACATAGGTCAACCATGGGATCCAAGGCTAGAGATGGTTGGGTTTTCTTCTTCTTCTTCTACTATGGTTATGGTCAGATGTTGGGTATTCATGGTGATTTTTTTTTAATTAGCAATTGGTGGTGATGGTGGTGGGTCTTCAGATTTGTACAAACTGGGAAAAAATAGTTTGTTGAATTTCAATTAAAATTTTGTTTTCACTAAAATGCGTGGAGATGATTTGAAGAATTTGAGATAAATTTGTGAAGTTTTGGGGACTACCATGTTTCGTGTTTCATGATGTCACAGGCTGTGATTGTTGGCTGCTACATGGTGGTGTTTATGGAAGATCAGCCGATTCCATTATGAAGCAAGAAAAAAAGGAAATCCATTATAGTAATAAAAAGAAAATGGAAAATATCTAATAGATTCCCATTGCAACCTAATTACCAAACGATTGAAAAGGATTAGGCAAAACCCATTACCATTGAGGAATTTTTGATACTCATTGTCTTTGCCATTGTGGAATTCCATCCAAACGGGTGGTAAGTGTTACCTTTCTACCAGAAAGTTCCTTGTACACAGTAAGCTCTATGTACATTGGGTGTACATTGTATCTACTGGTTGATGGTACTTCACCGTGAAGAAAGTTTCAAGTTACCTCGTGTGGGCTGCTTAACTGAAAAAATTTCAAGATAAATTACTTTTCTGGAAGATTATTTTTCATAGACTGAACATCAGACCTAGCTTAGCTACAAAGCAAAAATGTTAAAAAAACAAGTATGGGATTTTGTCCAAGTAATGGCTAGGGTTATATGGTTAAAGAGCTTAGGCACAATAGGTATTTATTGGGTCTTACTATTTTGCATCATTCTCCCATGGTTCAAGAAATGTCAAGCTTAATTTTTAAGTGTGGAAGTCTGACAATCAAATGTTCTTTAGCAACTTGTTGAAGCCAAAATACATAGATCTTGGAGTCTGTCCTGTGACTTAGATGTGGCCTACATGGTGCTTCACATGCCTGGTGTAATAGGCCACTTAATTTCTGTACTTATTCACCCTTTCTGTGTAGTACTTAAAAAAAATGCATTTTAGGTTCCAAAAATCATTTTCCTGGCATTATAAATTGGTTTTCCCAAATTCCAGCGTGTACAATAGTGCCATTCCATGTTAGCTAATATGCATGTATGTTAGGAGGTTCAGTCTTCAAACCCGGGGGATTGAAAAGCATGGAAATCTTCAGATTTAAGAAGTAGAAGGCCACCTTTGAAGTATGTTGATACACCAGCACAGAAGTTGCGGGCTGTTGTATCTACTGGTAAATGGATTACTGTTATTTCAAAACATACGTGCAAATGTAAAAGTGTTTCAAACATCTGAAATTATTCTTATCATTTAGTAAGAGTACAGCCAAACCTAAGTTGCACCCTATTGTACTTTGAGGGAAGGTTCACTGCTATTTTTCACAGAAAAACTAATTTGAAATGGGAAGTTGCTTTTATGTCATCAAATAGTATTAGCCATCTATATTGACATGACCAACCATAAAAGTTGAAGGCTATTCCACTTAAGCGAAAATGAACTGCTAGTAATGGAATGAACAAAAAGTAAAATTGGTAAATGCTTCAAAATATGCTTCAAAATTAAGCACTAGTCTTAATCAGTGGATGTCAGTTTAGCAGTTACTATTTGATGCATCTTTATAGTTTCTTGGGTCCTAATGCCCTCCTTTCCCGAAGGCTACTTCTTTTCATTTTTCTTTTCTTTTCTTTTGGGTCTCTCTTCTGTCTGGAGTTGATCCTACCCCTATCTTTTACGCTAGTGGTCCTTTCACTTGGTGACCAAGATCTATTGCTGGGAAAGAAAAGCATTAGTGCAGACTGGAGGAAAACTCCTAAAATACTACTTTGCTCTATCTTGCTTGAGGATGGCCTCATAATCAAATGAAAAAGAGGTAAGGAATTTGAGGTCAAAATGAAAGAGGTTTGTGTTTGGGAGCTCTCCTTATTGTTGGGAAAACCAATGAAAGACACTGATGGAAAGAGATAAATAGACTGGTTTAAAGAAGTAAATCAGCAGTTCAATTGTATGGGGTTAGCTTATCATTCCAACCCCTAGTACTGCAATTGAATCAGCTTGCCTGTAGAGCTTACACCTGATAAGTATTATTGTGAAGATTTAAGATTTGCATCTTCTAGGTCTTCCACTTCAAGCACCTGTTTTAGGCTGGTACTTCCTCAACTTTTACAGGTTTTGTTTGACTCTTAACCTCTACGGGCAGTGGTCTCTGTGGTGTCCTGTAGAGCTTACACCTGATAAGTATTATTATGAGGCTTTAGGATTTGCATCTTCAAGGTCTTTCCTCTTCAATCACCTGTTTTAGGCTGGTACTTCTTCAACTTTTACAGGCAGTGGTCTCTGTGGTGTCCCTTGCAGCACTAGTCATAGGCAGTACCTTGACTGAGGAGCAGCTTTATGATAAGGTTTCCATTTGAGAATCATATCATGGATGAGGCACCCTCCTTGTCTGGTGGGCCTTCTCCTTTAGACTTGACAACCTTCAAGTAAGTGTCTAGTTCTAAGGGGAGCATTTCTGCACAAATTTTTTTTTTCCTAAGTGAAGAGAAGGGTGCAAGTGAAGATCGAAGATATGTCTGTAGACATGGTAAGGATTAGCTTTACCAACTTGGTTAGGCCTTGGCTTATAAGTAGTATCAATCTTTCCTGGATGTTTCTCATTTGAAGATGACTAGTATAATATCATTATACTCTCAATCACTGTTTATCTATGATATTAATTCTGAAGAAACTAGTCTATGGTCACAACCATCCAAAATTGACAAGTGTGCTTTTGAGGTTTTGTGTTACTACATTAATTTGTGATTTTGTCTAACCAGAGAACACTAGGGTTGATTTTGGAGAACATCTTATTTATAGTGCATGGGCTTATAGGATGGTTTTGTGAAGAATCCTACTTGGCCACTGAACAATTGAAACACAGAAAATTGGTATGGTAACTTACCTGTTGTCATATACGTATCCATATGCTTACAAGGAGGAAATAAGCAAGGAAAAGAGTTAATGGTTTACCAGCCTCTCTTGTGCCCCTCTTCTCTGCCACCATTAATTCTATCTTCAATTGCAACTATTTTCATACCTACAAATGAATCTATCATGAGAAGATATATTGTCATTTTTGTGGTGCTGAAGGCCGCATTCTAATGTTCAACAGAAGGAGAATACAAAGAAACAGGGCAACGAAATGCAAAAATTGTTTCTAGGGTAATTGAGTGTATTGATTCTTGTCCTTTTCTCTCTCTCTCTTTCTTTTTTCCCCTCCTTTTTCTGGTAAATAAACTAATTTCATGCAGTATTGGCTATTGGAGCCTTTAAGTGATGCTTATTTCCTCTATCTTGTTGACAATATTGTAACTAACAGTTGTTCATGAATAAGTCCCAATTTTAGTTTTTGGAAAAGTTCCTGTGTTAGGGGTAGAGGAGCCTTTTATTCTCATAGGCAAGTAGTATGGATATGGATAGGCATATGTTTTGTTAGGTATGTCTTGAGATACTCAAAGTCATGCCTGTTCATTATTGATGTAAAACTTTCAGCTGGAGCAGTATCTTTGAAAATTGTATGTCACCTGGTTTTAGGTTAGTCATTCAACAAGTGGATTAACTTAGTGTTGGAAGCTGACTATCAGGGATTGCTAGTCCTGGGCAGGATTTATTGTTTAATGGATTCAGACTACCTGAAACTGTCTAGAATGAATAATTGTATTTTGCTATCTTTGTCTCTCTAGTTATAGTATCAAAATTAGAGAACATATGGTTGAAAGACATTCTAACATACAACTTGTAGTGGAGAGTTTTCCGTTTGAAACTCCTCATATACTCTATTTATTTGGCCAAAACCACCGGCAAAGATTTTTCTCAAATTTCTTTTGGCCTTCACTTGTTCATTTTTCCTTTTCATCTGTCAACCTGTCTTCTTCATCTTACAAATATTTCTGAGCTTTTTTTTTTTTTTTTTTTTTAACCATTTTGGGAATTGCAATCGCTAACTATATTTTGTGCTAACTTTTGTTATCAAGTAATTTCTAATGGTTTGGTGTCTGGAATGTGTGGGATTTTGGGTGGGGCTTGGGGCTTGGGGCTTGGGTGTATGCATTTTTCTGCACATCGATGAGATATTTGTTACATCACTGGACATTCTGCCTATTGGATACTGTAGATTAAGTTTCATCCTCTATGATTTCTTGGACGAGTCAGGACTTGTTCAATAGGAACCCAGAGGTGAAATACCTGTTATCGAATGTCACTACAAGTTAATAGTTCACAGTCTACTGTTCTTGATTTGACTTTGGATTATAATCAAGCGAACTACTATTCCTACAATCCTTTGTATTTGTGTCCAGCAATTAAATATCTAACTTATCTTACTACTAAAACTGATGAAATCTTTGGCTTGCCATTAGAAATAAATGGTAATCTGGTTGGCAGAAGCTCAGCATATAAATGCTTTACTTTTCAAAGCAATTATTTGGGTAGGAAATAGGTTATTCATCTTCATATTTAGTCTTTTTAAGACAAGATTTGGATTCCTTCTTTTGATTCATTGTTTCAAAATTCGAAATGTTAAGTTCCTCTTGAAGATTAGTTTGTCTGCACACTTTCTTATTTCAGGTTTACCAGTGCAACCAAGTCCAGTGGACGAAAGGTTGATGGATAGGTGGAAGCTTGTTTTGAAGCTATGATGATAAAACGGGCAATTGATGGCGATTAGTATTTATCCGAGTTTACTTGGTCAAACGAAGTTGGACTGTCCCATCTGAAGGGTAAATGCCTCAAATGAAACTAGGCTTAAAAAGTCATCGAAGGGTTAACTGAAGCTTTGATAGGTGAAATAACTTGTTGATTTACTGGAGTTTACCTTCCTATGTAAGATATGCACAAGAACTGTGTATGTGTAAAGTTTCAATCAACAGTAGCTAGGCACTGCTTCTATTCCCCTGTTGACTTATGAGTCAGCCTGTACTTAAATCTTTTGATTCTGTACATTATGGATATTTTTGTTGGACGACTGATGCAGCACGACTAAGCACAAAATTTTCTGCAACTTTCTGTAGACTATGGGTCCTCATGGATTAGGTATTTTTGGTCCGTATGAGTTAGATATTTTTGGAAATGTTTTTCAAGTGAAATAATGTAACATTATATGTTAAAAGCTTGACACTATAAATGTATTTTAGAGTGTTTTTAAAAATTTAAATTTTATTGGAATATTTGCTGAATCTCTCACCACGCACCACCACCACCACCACTCCCCCCTCCTTCCCCCTCCATCCCACCAATGCCTCTTTTCCATCCCTTCTCTTAACCTCTTTCTCTTCCTTTCCGTACCTGTTCCTGTTTCTCTTCATCCCCTTCCCTCTCATCTCCCCTCCCCTCCCCTCCCTTCCCCCGCAACCCTCCCTTCTAACTTTGGTCGCGACTGGAGGGGGAGGGCTTTGGTTGAGACCTGAGGGAGGGGAATGGGTTGCTGGGAAAGAGGGAGGAGAGAGGAGGACGGAGGAGGAAAGAGGAAGAAGAGAAAAAGGGAGGAGGAGGGAGGGGTAGAGGAGCGGCGGTGGCCGTGGAGAAGGAAGGAAGGGAAGGGTGGTGGCAATGGTGGTTTAGTGAGTGGAAGAGGAAGATAGGTTTTGTTAATTTTTTTAAAAATTTTTGTGTTTTTGTTAGTTGTATTTAAAATTGTATATTTGGAGTGTGTTACTGTAGCATTGTTTTTCAAAAACTAAATTTAAAAGATTAGTATTTTTGTTAGTTGTATTTTATATTCGGGAGAACACCACAAATAGTCCCTCACATATTGCAAATGTGAAATTTTAGTTCCTCAAATCGAAAATGATCACTTTTAGTCCTTAACAAATAAAAAAGAATCAATTTAAGTTCCTTTTCACTTTTTCGAGCGCTTTTTGCTTGGAATGTCTCACACACGCACATCACGTGCCCAACTTTTAAAGGGTAAAAAGACCAAACCACTTATTTGTTGACCAAAATGTAAAGGACCAATGGTGTAATGCTGAGTGAAAACCTCCATTTTGGTACTAATTCACCATTCCATCTCCGATTCCTCTCAACCCAAAAAAAAAACTTAATTATCAGCAGTCCACTGATCTTGATGAAATGGAACGTTAGTGATTGAAGCGAAGACGAAACAGGCGTACTAAAGTGATCCCAAATTATAGTATGTATTTCTAAACCCTAAACTAAAGAATTTCTGGAATAATGTCAGATACTATGTGAACAGTTTAAATACAGTTGCAATAAACATGATTTGTGCACTTAAGAAGTATTATTATATTTATTAGGGTTGCTGGTGGTCAATTTTATGCTTTATGTTGTTGTAACTATATGTGGTCCCTTGTATTTTGTTGTGTTGTCGCTTTACATAAATGGGTGGTCGGTCCTAAAATAATATTTTTTGTTGTTAACTATCTCTCAAATGGTTGGCAGATGATATGAATCGATTTTCCATTAGGGTCCACTACGAAGGTGAACTCACTGAATTGCTGAACAAAGAATACCGTGGGGGTGGTGCAAAAATTGTTGACTATTGTAATCCTGACAGATGGTCTCTATGTACACTTGATAGGGTTGCAAAAAAACTAGGGTATCCTGAGTTTAGTGTAACATACTATTACTTAATACCCGAGAAGAACATGGTGGATGGGTTAGTATATGTGTTATGTGAAGATGTTGCTCAAGATTTGGCTAGATATGGAGTGAAATATGGTGTGGTTGATGTATACTTTGTGCACTTAAAAACCTACTCCGTAAGTGAATGTGAAACTGGACCATGTAAACCAAAAAAGGGGGCTGATCCTAATGAAAATCAACAGGGAGGTAAGGTGCATGAAGAATTTTCTGATGTAGAAGAAATAGTGATGACTAATATTCCTGTAACTCAATCTGAAAATAAGGGTGAAAAGGATAGCAGGGGTATAGGTGAGTCAGGAGTTAATAAGCACACAAGGGAAGCAACTATAGGAGAGGAGAACTTGAAATTTACTGAAAAACTAGGTGAAATACTTTCAGAAGTTAAGAGTAGAGTTGCTGATAAAGGGGATAATGGAGCAGATATAGGAGGGCAAGATCAGAATTTTAGAGAAGAACAACATGGGACAAACTCAGAAGTGCAGAATGCAGGAAAGAATGCACCTTCTACTAGCAAATCACCAAAAGAAAAATCATCAAAGAAAAAATCTTCAGCAAATAAAAAGCAGGCTAAAAAAGTTGAGAGAAAGAAGAAGAGTAAGAAGGAGGCACCTGTTGAAGAAGATGAGGAATCTGGTGATGGTGACAAGTTCATTGATAGTGACTACGAGTTAAGTGATGAAAAGAATATAGTAAAATCTATTAAAGAAAGAAAAGCTGAATGGGAGAAAATTGTCCAAAATTGTAAATCAAGTAAGGGTGCAAATGCAACTACATCTCAAACGGAGGGTGTTGAGATGTAAGAAGATGCTACTGATTCAGATGAATTTGATTGTTGCTGTGACTCAGAAGAAGAAGATCAGCCAAGAAAAAGTGTTAAGTTTCCAAAATTTAACCCTAAAACCGATATGGCCGATCCCAAATTTGTGGTTGGACGGACTTTTACTTGTAAGCAGAAGTTATTCATGAAGGCATGCAAGAGCCATGGAGTGGTTCACCAAAGGAAGATAAAGTTCAGTAAAAATGATGGCAGAAGAGCTACAGCTTATTGCAAAGATTGTAGCTGGAAAGTTTCTACAGCCGTTATGGCAGACGAAAAGACTTTTCAAGTCAAGAGCATGCAAGGTGAACACAATTGTGGGAGAACATTTGACCACGGACTAGCAAACTCAATTTTTTGGTTGACAGATACTAAAAGGAGCTGGCTGCTATGGCTGACATGAAGGTGAGTACACTTGATAAAGTGAAGACTGATGTTAATGTTAACATCTCTAGGTGGCAAGCTTATAGACCCAAAAAAAAAGGCAGAGAGTTTAGTTAATGGTGAATATGAAGCCCAATACAACAAACTAAGGAACTATTGTAGGGAAATAAATCCTGGCTCAAATGTTTTCATGACAACTGTTGAAGATGATGAGAGAGAAGATAGGTTTGAGAGGTTGTATATTTGTTTTAATGCATGCAAGACAGGCTTTTTAAGTGGTTGTAAGCCTGTTGTTGGATTAGATGGCTGCCATCTTAGAGGGCCCCACAAGGGTGTATTGCTATGATCAGTTGAACCCCATTGCCTATGCTGTGGTGGAAATAGAAAACAAGCTAACTTGGAAATGGTTTCGTCGGTGAATTGGTGAATGTGTGAGGACTTGAAAATTTGCTTATATTTTCTTATAAGTCTCTTTTATTTTGAATAAGTTAATTTATAATTTCTTGAATACTAATTACTTCCCTTAATAGGTGCAATAAATAATAGAGTCGAGAGTTTTACTTTTACTTTTAAAGTTAGTGTAAGTTAGGGTTTTGGTGCATTGTGGTAGTGTGATGAATTGGTGAAATGTGTGTACTAAATTTGGTGGATGAGAGCGGGTATTAAGTAGGAGGAAGTATGTGATTAAAAGTGTTAATAGTACATTAGTGAATCATAAGTTACAACAAAAGTACAAGAGAGGCAAAGAAATAGGCTTGAACCGACTCGTGCCGTTTGTTACCGGTCGAAAACACCACTTGACCAATACTTTCTTACCCTAATCTTCTTATTTTCCTATCATTTATCCTTCCCTAATTTAACCCTAAAGCTAGCCGAAATTTTTGACCAAAAACAAGAGGAAAAGAAACAAAAACAAAAGGAAAATTGGTGGCTTGCCAAGTGTTGGCCATCCATGCAACCTTTGACCAAGAAGCTGTGAGAGCCCGAAAATTTTTGTTTTGTCATCTATGATTTCATCTAGAATTTGAATGTGTTGTAATTTGCATGATATTATTTAATTTCCATGTTTGCCTGTTTCATTTGATTAAAAGACTTGAATGCGCACTCAATTTGTATAGGATCAAATCTAATAGGACTTAAAACCAACTAGAGTAAGAATTAATAGGGTCATAATCTAATAATATAGAAATGTGAGGGTAATTATTAGATTAACTTTTATTCATGCTTGAGTGATAAGTGGTGTGCTAAGTGATGGTTGTCTTGCAAGATCCCAAAACTGTGTTTGACCAGAAAATTCTTCTCTTGCCTTCTTTGTTTTAGCCGAGAGAGAGAGAAGAGTTGAGAGACCTATCTTTTTCATTTGTCCAGCAAAGAAAGCAGAGAGCTTTGAGAGAAATAAGAGTGTTTTGTCTTCATTTCCAGCCGAGAGACTAGAGGGAAAGCTGAAGGAATTTTCCTTGTCTTGCACATTCTTCCAATCGAGAGAAAGATATATTACTCAACAAAACATCTTGCTCTTTGCCTCCATTTTGACCAAGTCCAAGTAGTATGCAAAAGTTGACCAAGTCCAATTTATTCCCTCTTGTTTCTTTTCTTTAGTTCAACCGAGAGGAAGAAACTTTCATTCTTTCTTCCTCACAAACAGCCGAGAGAGAGAGCTAGAAAGAAACCCATTTCCTTCTCCTCCTTTGCTTTCTAAAAAACCGATGGAAAACCACAAGATTTAACCCTGGGACTTTCTTCATTTTTCAACCATTAACATCAGCCAAGAAACAAGAAAAGTTAGCCAAAGTCTTCCTCTTGTCTTACTCCACTTCAGCCGAGAGAGAGAAGAGAGTTGAGAGCAAGAAAACTCCATCTTCTTCTTCCTGTCATTAGCCAAGAACCAAGGCTGATTCAGCCATAGAAATTTCACAAAATTCCCCTATTTCTTCAAGCTTAAACCGTGAGTGAGAGAGAGTCAAGAGAGTAGAAAGGATCCAGCTATGTTGGAGGGGAGAAAATACAGGAAAGCTGGTGCATTTCACCCTTGAGGTACCGAAGGAGAAGCCAGTGAGCCATCTGCATTTTTTTTTCAGCTTTGATTTGTGAGGAAAAAGAGAGGTAACAATTGCGATAAAACCCCTCATTTTTTTTATTACTCTTGAGTACTCTAGTTGTATGTTAAATTTAAGCCAAAAGGTAGAAGTTTAGTGGAAGAAAAATATACTTTTCTAAGCTATAGGTTGCTGGAATTTTAATTTAGTGACATATGCTGATAGTTTTGATTTGCAGCTTTGTATTTGGCTCTTTGATGGGTTTCCTTGCTAAGAACTCAGGTCATATGTTTCATCTTATGTTAAAAATGATATATGGTGTATTTGCCATGAAAATGAGTGAGAAATTAGTGGCTTGAATGAAAAAAATTTTGAAGGAACCTAGTTGGAAAAAAATCTGTGGGCTGACCGATTGCATAAAGTTGGATATATCAGTTTTACTTTGAATTTGGAGTGAAGTTTTGCTAAGATTTCATGTTTTATATCATGACAACCGTGTATATAAAAGTTAGTATGTTTATATGGTTGAATCATAGTTGTATGTTCATTGATTTGGCCGAAAATTTGTCTAAGAGACCTTGAGAAAAATTGGAGGAACTTTGTTCCATCCTTGTCACAGCCTGCTATCTCATCCCTTTGTGAAGTTTCTACTAGGAAGTCATGCTTTGAATATTATATTTCTTGTTTAGTATGATATAGCATGTTGTCTTTGAATTTGGTAGCAAAGTGCTGGCTTAGATGTGAGTTATAGGTAGCAATAAAGTTGGAATAACTCAAGTGAAAGGTTGAAATTTCGGGTGACAGTCACCCCTAAGCAAGTTTAGTAAAATGATCATAACTTAGTGTAGAAAAATCGAAATTGAGTGCCATCAGTTGCGTTTGAAACTAGACTCAGGGATCTTTAAAATAGTATAACATTGGAACTGCGATTCATTTTATATATGCACCAGAAAATCAGCAAATTTGACTGAAAAATCTGCCCTGCACAAGTAAAAACTGGAATGTTGTAGTAGCTTGTGGCTCAATTTGGACTAACTTATGAACTAAATCTCTTTGAGGTGTCTTCTAAAGATTGTTAGTGCTTTGAGTCTAGTTTTTAACGGGCTAAGTTTTATGATTTTCTAACATTTATAACTCAAGTTATGATTTTTCCAAACAAGTGCTGCTTGCTGGAATTTTTCCGGCTTGGACTGAGAGAGAGAGATGATGAGTTTTTTTTCCAACTTTTCCATACCTTTTGGCTGTAAAACTGCATGAATGCTGTTAATCTCCCTTTATAATACAATAATAGTGACATGTATGTGGGCTCTAAGGAGAAACTTGAGTTTTAAGGCTGTGATTCTTGTTAAAATTTCTCTAGCTTTGTCGAGAGAGTAAGCTGTGTAAATGCAGCTCTTATTTGCAAATTTTGGTTGAGACATGTCTTATTTCTGTTTCTATGATACTTATGATATGTTCACCGTTGAATCTAATGAAAAATTGATAACTTGACTGGAGAGCACCTTGAAAAACTGCTGGAAATCCACTTGAATGGACAAGTGAAGAAGAAGGGAACATTTCTAGTTTGTACACGACTTTTGGGGCTGCAAAACTTTTAGGTTGTTGTTCAATAACCCTTGTAGCATATTATTTTCATATGCATGTTGAGTTTACGTGATAAACAGAGGGTTTTATTGAAGAAAAACACTCCCTTAGCAAACTATTTTCTTGCTAGGAATTTGCCAGCTTTGAGCCGTAGAGAAAACTTGAACTTCTAGTTTTTAAATGCAATTTTTCTTGTTGAGTTTTACTGGAATACATGATTAGTACCACCTCCCTTGGTACAAGCTATTTTATGTGATTTATGGTTGAAATAAGTATGAGAGGGGCTGTTTTGGTGACAAAAATGAGGTTAGGCTCGCTGGAATTTGCTTGCTTAAACCGTGAACTACATACTAGATTTTCCAGCTTATAACTTTCATTTTGTTGTAGTTTTTCAAAGAGAATCATGCCTTATAATTACACTATGAGGCATTGCCTGATTTATACTTGAACCATGAAAAAAAGTTGAGTTTTTGATTAGCCATCCACGTACATGTAACCTGTTTTGGAGAAAAAACTCCCAGCCATGAACCATGGTTAAATTTCTGGCTTAAACCGAGAACATGTAGCTACCATTTTCTTTTGTGCTTTAACTCCATCTTTAATATTAAGTTGTTAGCTACAAACTCGTGCCTTTTGACTCATTAAACATTTCATGTTTTAAATATGTATGAACAAATTCACTGGTGTTTGGAGAAAATTGGAAGTCATCTTGACGACAAATTTCTGTCAAAAGAAACCAAGAGTAAAGGCAAGGGTTCCGACCTTATATTCATGCTTTTGGTTGGAAAATCCTGTATCTTTAACCTACATGTTTGATATCTTTAGTGTCATTCACTTGTTTTGATCAAGAGGATGTGTAATTAAAACGTGGATATGTCTCAAGAGTCAGTGATGAGCTAAAAAAATCCCGAAACTGAGATGTGACTGTCCATTTGATTTGGTAAGTGTTCCAACTGCAAGTCCCATGCTACTTGTTGCTCAAATATGACTTGTATATGACTTGCTACTTTTTTTTTTTTTTTTTGTCAAAAAAAAAGGACCTGGCCCCACTTCAGGCCCCAACCCTTATTCGGGTTGTTGGGTTACCCCATTTTCGTTACTGGGACTCGAACCGGTGACCTACGGGATACTACCGCATGTGGTCACCGGCTGAGCTACCCAGGAAGGGCTATATGACTTGCTACTTGAATTGACTTATTATTGCATAGGTGAGTTTGTACTTTATCGCACTCGACCTAACTTGACTGAATTCTTGTTTTACTACTATAAGTGAATTATTTACAAGTGAACTGATATTCATGCGCATGAGTTGAAAGTAACGGCTTGGATCCCAAACCCCATCGGCTAGTTAATCGAGTCGAGCCGGCAAGGGCCTGGTCGATTAGATAACGAATCTTGTGTCTACTGTTTTGTCGAGTGAAGTGTTATCTCCTCAACTAATTGGTATGCTCGAGTATTACCACCCACTGTTACTGTTGGAGTTCGGGTCCGGTAGGGGGTTGTTCGGTGGACGAAAATTGGAGTTAAGTGGTGCTTTACTGGACTTGTTATAATTCCATCGTTGACGGAGTGTCAACAGATCCTGGACAAGTTACGATGGAACCTGCTCCCGAGAGCAGACTATATCCTTATCGTGAATGTGTATTTACTGTACATTGTTAAATGAGTTATTTGGATATTACTTGCTCCACGAAACACGTGATCATGCCAAC